GTTTGAATCAAGAACATGGAGCTCCAAAACAAAACATCATCAATTTCAATCTGATAATGGAATGTACCTCGTACTAGAAGCTCTTCAGGACTCTAGGTACAAAAAAATATATAAAACAATAAAAAATATATAAATACACGAAAATACCCCAAAATACATAAAAGTGAGTAAAATTCATATAAATGCATAAAAAATACGTTAATACATTTAAAATATATAAAAACATAAAAAAAAACTATATAAACAACTTTAAAAAACTTAAATAATACATAAATACATAAAAAATAAATAAAAAGATGTCTCTCGCTCTCTCTCTCTCTCTCTCTCTCTCTCTATATATATATATATATATATATATATATATGTGTGTGTGTGTGTGTGTGTGTGTGTATGTGTGTGTATTTTTTTATATGTATTTTGATATATTGTTTTTATGTATTTATGTATTTTTTTTACTTCAAGTTTCATTGTAAGATAAATATTAAACCTTGTAAATGGAAAAAAAAAACACTAGAATACTATAAAACAAACATTTTTCAAATAAGATCCTTAGCAATCAATGCTATTTTCAGGTAAATTTTCTCTTTTTCTTGAATTCAATTTGTGGATGAACAAAGTTTATGAACATAGTCCAACAAACTAGATACGAGTATTTCTTTTTAACTCAAAAAAGAAATAATTGATATTTTTCCTATTAAATAACCATTATACAAATTTGCACTTACATTTTCTTTTCATTATCTAAATGTAGTGTCATCTTCTCAAAAACAAAAATAATAATAATAATAATAACATCATTTGATCACTTAGGAAAAATATACACGTTTTCCTTATACTTGCCTAGAGTTATACTCTTTTTTCTACATGCGTGACGAAAGAGGCATGTATCATGTACAACTAGAAGATGTAAGAATGTTTCTCATCACACTGATGTATAGATGATGAGAATAGTCGACGCTTGATATATGAATCAATTTGAACTTTGTTAACTTCAAAAATTATTTTAAGCCGTTGATATTGAGTTTTGTATTCTATGTGTGCACATATCGAGTTTTTTTTAATATAAACATGCTTTTGTGCTATGTTTATAAAGTGAACAAAGTTCTAAAAATCTCGTCATGGCTCCGCCATGGCACGTCATGGCTCCAACGCTTATACCTGCCACAAAGTTTTACCAAAACGCCGCCTTAACTCATATATGTGTATAAAATAAAAAAAAATAATTGAAAATACATATAAAAATATTAATTATATATAAAATTGCCGCCTTAAGTCATGCCTTACAAACGACGTGGCTCGCCAAGACTCAAAAAAAACTTGAAGTTTGACATTGTCGCCAAGTCACGCCTTACGTTATTTAGAACCCTGGCAGTGAATAATACAACAAATTTTTTACTCGTAACATTGTGTTTATCTTAAGCATCCTTGGCATTGTCTTATTTGGTAAAGTAAATGTCATTTTTACGTTGTTTTGCCTTTTATATTTTCTTATTTTTTTAGTGTTATGTATATGTTGCAAGTAAACCCACAACTCGTTATATGAGATCGGGGATCATTTTGACATGTCGGGATGCAAATATCCAATTACTTAATCCTTTGCAGGAGGAAGGACTCCTAACCCAAGTAGCGAATTGGGAAATTATATATCATCAAACCATATTTGATGCATAGATGTGAAGATTATAACTACCTAGATATTTGTCTTGAGTGAAAAAGAAAAGAAACCATAATTTCTTATTCTATCCGCCATGGACCGTGATTTATTAACTGACCAAGCTTCAACAGTAGCTTCAAAATCCGTGTTTTCTCTTAATCGTATGGTAATATTGGAAGGAAGGTCATGACTCACTGCGTATTGATGAAAGTATATATTTTTGTTTGACGGATTACTTGGACGGTGTGGAAAGAATTCAAAACTGTGTTTCGCTTGATCACTTTTACCACCCATCGAGGGGTACATCCACAAAGACATCGATCGACAATTTTCGAATTAGATAAACTCTGATTTGATAAAGACCACCATTTTATCAAACTAAAAACGATTGTATTTTAATATATTTTTATCTATTCTGTTATTTTGTATTTAAAACTAGATAGAATTCAAATATTTGTTTGGTTGGAATGAAATTAAATTCAAAAAATATAACAATCCATATTCCGAATCCAAATATGTCCACTCGTTACACCGTATATCAATCTCATACAAAACTTCAGAACAATCAGCTCCAAAACCCACCTGGATTTAAAAAGTAATCCGGGTCCGGACTAAAATCCGGTAAACGTGCAGCTGTAGAGGACCTAGTGTTCTATGAAAGGGGGCGAGCTTCAGGCTCTCAATGACTTTAGTATCGACCATCAATTTTATATCTAAAACGTGGGTTCAGTTTTTTTCTTTTTGGGCCCTCCATGTCAACAACACAAAGCAATCAAACAACACCCGTTTTCTAGCCGGGTGTAGGGCGACTTCACACTCTAGCGGCTGCTTCTCCTGTTCTCTCGGAGTCTCGACCTTTGTCTCCCACTCTCACGGTTGCTTTCCGTCTCTTGTCTTCCTCTCCCTGTCTCTCCATTGAGCTACTCAAACCTAATCTTTTCTTGGTAATTCTAAGCTATAATTGAACGTGCTTATGAAATTAAGTTCTTGAATATTTGATTTAAAGCTATACCATGTGATTTTGTAATATGAGATTGTAATTTACCAATTAAGTTAATTAATCTGTGAATTCTTTGCACTTTGGTTATGTGATAATTTGAAGCCGGTTATAAGTTATGTGGTTTGGTTAAATTTGTGATTTTGGCTAGATGTAGTATACTCATATTCGTCAATTAATTGAGGTGGTCTCCTGTCTTTTTCTCATTCTAAAACTTCAGTTTAAGCGTATAAGTTAACGTCCTTTTTAAATTGGAATGGAAACTTGGCATAGTGCCCCTATGGCGATTCCCTAGTTAATTCAGGTTCGACAGTAGCATTCCTGTTGGGTTTTTTTTTTTTTTTTCCATGCCTAACCATAAGGATGTCATACTTCTATCTTAAAATTTTGTAGAAGTCAAACAAGTCAAAGTTAACTAGGTTTGATTTACAACCTTATAAAATATGTTGCTAATGTAATTTTAACATCTGGCCATAAGGAATCATCAAAAGTTGATGTAGATATCGAGATATATCTCCTGTCCTTAGGAACTGAATTGTAGTTTTTCAAAGTTCAGGCGCTAGAGCAATATCATTTCTCAATTTCTATACATTTATGCCTAAATTGAGTTTTGTGTAAATTTTTCATAGTGGAAAGCAGCAAGAGCTCTGTTGCCTCCATGGAAATGGAGGAAAGACACATTCAATGACGATCTGTTATAAAATGTAACATTGAAGAGGTTATTTTAACGTTATCGGGTATGGAAACTGAGCTTCTTTTATATCAAGCTTTTTTCAACAACAAATGTTTTACTGATTTGAGATTAACAGGCTTCATATTTAATTCAATTGTGGCCATTAGTTGGAAAAACCTTAGGAGTTTAAGTATTTCCTATTGGAATTTAAAGGAAGATTTGATTGAAAATATATTAACTAGGAGTCCTGTATTGGAAACTTTTGTATTGGATTATTGCCATGGTTACAGGCGGCTTGATATTACTTCAAAAAGCATTAAGAACTTGGTGTTGAATTATTGCTTTGGTTGTAGGCCGCACAATATTGTTGAAATCACAGCTCCTAATATTTTATCATTAACAATCGTTGGTCATCTATGGTTGTGGAAGCTTTTGTTGGTAAATGTGTCTTCTTTAGTTGAAGCTAACTTTGTCCGGTAGGATCTGAATTTTTAAGATCTGAATTTTTAAGAGGTCTGAATTTCTAAGAGGGTCTGAATTTTTAAGATCTGAATTTTTAATATGTTGTTTGATTGCAACCTCTTAGTTGTTCTGCTGAATTATAAAAATAACCATTTTACCCTTCTATATAAGTTTTTGCTAAGTTCAAAGTTTCTATTTATAAAATAATCGAATCAACCTCTTGAATAATTATAAGGAAAAATATAAATGCCGTACACAATTCAAATTAAGCATAAATCAAAATTAAACACAAATACAAATCAAATAAGGTCCAATTTCATATATTTGATCAATACCAATACTACTTGTATACATAGAATCCAAACTAAAATCACAAAGCAGTGGGTTCACATCAATAACCTTTTCCTTCTTGTCTTTTTCCACTCCTTTTGTAGAACTTTTAAAACTCATATATTTGCTTTCAAAATTCTCCATCAATGGAGATAATTACAAAGTTGCAGGTTCAGGAGTATTTCTTGCACATCATACATTTCAAAATTATAAATCACACCACCAATAATGATCACAACAATAGTTATAATAAACAAATCTAAGAGCTAATTTCACGAGAATTCTAAATTCCAAAACAGTATATAATAAGCAAAGTTCCTTCCTAGAGTGTAAATATATATATATATATATATATATATATATATATATATATATATATATATATATATAATCAATCGCTCAATAACATATAACAGAAATCAAATTCATCAATTAACAAAAGATATGATCAAACAAACAATCATAGAGATCAAATTTTGAGAGATTATTATGTTGTAAAAGGGAACGAGTCATAGATCAAAACTGATTTAGAAGGAGCTACTGGAACCCGATTCAGGGCAAGAACCAACGATTCAATATTTTTAGGGCACGAACTATTCAAGATTTTTAGGGCAAGAACAAAAGGAAAAAGCTTGCTTTTGATGAGATTTGACGGAACAAGATAACTTTTTTACCTAAATGTTGTCGATGAGATTTCATGGAAGTGGAGGGCTTCGCTGGTGGCGGGACTGGCGGAAGCGATGGCGGAGGCAGAGGCGCCAACGATGGTGGAGGGTTGCAGGTCCGACCAGCAGTAGAAGGGAGAAGGTAAGATGCGTCGAGTGAAGTAGAATGAGAGAGAGAAAGAATCAGGGTTCACTGCAGAGTCGTTGTTGGTGATGAAGGAGGGTGAATGTCGGAGGTGGGTCTCGCACAAGATGTTTCACCGAGGGTCTCATAGGCATTTTGTTGGAGAAGGTTGGGAGGGAAAAGCAGCCTGTGAGAAATAAAAAGAGCGGAGGAGCAATGGGTAAAAAAGTAACAATTGTCTCTTATTTTTTTCAGACTCTAGTCTATATCTGAAATATTAAGAGTTTTTTAAAAAATTAAGAGGCAAAAAATAAGATGCTATCAAACAAGCTATATCTGAATTTTAAGAGGTTACCTCTTAATTTTTCAATTAAGAGGTAAACAAACAAGACCTTAGATTATACAAGGGAGAAGGCAACACCTATAGAAGCCGAAGAAGAGATGCTTGAAGGATTTATAATGAATCTTCGCCATGTCAAGGAGCTCAAAATTGGGGTTTTATGTTCTAAGGTAAATTTCTCTTCCTTTGACAATTTGTATATCTTTGTAAAAATCATTTTATTAGCTTTAGCTAGGTTTAAAAAAGTGGCACTTGGCAGCATTTAAATTGCAACTGAATGGTGCTTTCTGCTCACTTTTCCTTAAGTTCTTAAACACGCATAGGGAATGTTGGGATATTAGTTTTGTTAGGCCAGATTTAGTTAAGGCTTGATTAAGAAATCATAGGTTTTTTTCAACGCGTTTAATTAAGTAAGAGTCACATGACTTGGAAGCGATAAATTCTACTCTCCTTTCACCAAGACTGAAGCAGTTTGAATGTATGTTAAAACATTATGTTGCATGTTTTAACATTTAAGTTTTATTGTTGATATTTGGTAATAATGATACAGTATTGCATGATCAGTTTTAAACTTTAAGTTTTAATGTATGTTAATGTTGCATGATCAGTTTATATATGGCCTTACTTTTCTTAGTCTCGTACGTTGTATGCTGCTGAATTTATGTTCAGTAAATTTGTATATTTTTTAATTGAATTTTAGGTGCCTAGTGTGCTCTAAGTGAGCGCTTAGCTCTTCGGCTACAAGAAGCCTTCACGCTTTGAGGCGCCTTAGGCCTTTTAAAACCAAAACCTTAGTAGTAGTTTATTGATTATCCTTTGATAAACTTGTTCAATATACTTAACCGGAGTCAAATTTTATACTTAGAGGGTGTTTGGATGTGCGTCCAAAGTCACAACATTGACTGTTCTGTTAAAATGCTTATGAATTTGACTGTATAGGGTTAAAGAAGCTAAGAAGTTGTAAAATTAAGGAGCTGATTATTGAACTATATGTAGCTTTGATCACCTTATATTTGTAATGTTTGTAGGTTTTGTCTCGTTTGGTAGCTAAAGGTTTCATTTTACCATCGAATATCAAGTTTTCTTATGCTTTTTGTAACGTGCTGGAGGTTGGTGATGCTTGATCATGGTCCTAAAGGTTATGAGGTTAATTGATCGGTGACACTTTGAATTTATGTTTAGGCACTTTATCCATCTCTTTTTCTCTTAGTTTTTTAAGGTTTGCTTAGTTCGGTTGGGTCTTTTGGGCATTGATGAACATTTGCGTACTTTCATTAAAGGCAAAATACTATGTTTTTGTAGATTTGTGGATTGATGTACATAATTTTCCTTGAAGTCAAACGAAAGTTGACGCATGTTTTTCGGTAAGAGTTATGTTGACATATCCCACCGGGAATCCGTCAAAGATAACAGAACCACTAGTTCGATAGATGGATCGACCAAAGAGCAACGTGTGACTAACATCGGGCCTTTGCCCTCGCCTTCGAGACCCCATATTCGTTCCTTGGTGTCTAAGCGCCAAGGCTAACGTTAAAGACAAAACAATACCAAGAGTTCTCCTGAGCGACAGGTGTAGTGCTCTGGACGCCACTTCTAACATAATTTGAACCAATAGCGAACAACCACCCATGGAACACGATCCTCCAATCAAAAGCCATCAACCACTGCCAAACCTGAAAAGGTAAAAGATACTGTCGGGGATCTTTTCCCCTTTAGAACTAAGGATGAGCAGTTTGTCCCAAATCCCAATCCCGTACCGGTACCGGTACCGTACCGGAACCGGTACCGAACCATACCAAATTTAAAAATACGGGACGGTACTTGGTACTCCAAATACATGAAATTTGGGAATCGGTACCACCGGTACCGGTACCATTCCTGCTACCGGTACCGGTGATGTTAATTCGGTTCGGTACTCAGGATTAACTTTTGATCAAATTCGGTATTCGGGAAATCGGGAACGGGACGGGTCGGTACCGGTTCCGTCCCACACTCATCCCTATTTAGCACAGGTATAAAAGGCACCCTTCTCCCCGAAGAGAAGGGACCAAGATCAAAAACCCTTTAATACTCTCTTTACGCTTTCAACCATCTCTCTCTCTCTCTCTCTCTCTCTCTCTCTCTTAGAATCTCATTGACTTGATCGTCGGAGCCTCGTTCCGAGACAACCTCCCGGAAGATGACTGAAGGTCTTATCTTCTTTGTTGTGATCCACAAGCTTTTCATTTCCACCCTCAGAAAGACAAAGTTAAGTCGGTGAGATATCACAACAGTTGGCGCCATCTGGTCTTGCACTCAGTCCTGCAAAACCCACGAAACAACACCATGCGCCAGAAATGATGGACAAAGAACCGTCGCAGCAAGAAGGTGACACCACTAGCCAGGTTCGATCAATGCGGACCATCGATAGAAGTTGTCCATCGAGACTAGAAGGACAACCGCTAGCACATACACCGACAACGCTTCCAATTGACTCCACGACGGAGTTCATCGATAGTTTATGGTGACCGACACCCACCGCAACAACACATCCGACCACAATGACCACGATGGTGCCCCAAAGGGCACCAACCATACAATCATAGCCACCAACTTGCCAGCACCCATCCATGCGGCAAGTAGGGACCTGCACCTGGTGCCCGTGCACTATCCCATCCGCTATACAATCAATGCCTATATGTCACTTGTCTTTCCCGATGGCCGCCATATCGTACGTCCCACTATTCGTACAACAACCAACGTTCAACCAATACTCTTACTACTACCAAGGCATGTGTCCTCCATCACAACCGCAAAACAACAACATTCAAGGTACACCGGTGCACTCGCACATCATGGGACCAATGGAATCGAGCTCACAGCCAAATCAACCAACGCATGCATACCCCACACATGCAGTGTATTAGCCGCAAACGCCGGTGTACAACCACGAATACTATTACCAATACGATCAAGGATATGCCGGCCCCTATCACATGTAGCAGGCAATGGACAGTGGAGCACCTGCATATCTACACATGGCACGGCTTAGTATCAAGCATCAGCTCGACATTTTTTCAGGAGCTCCTACATTACGAAATACCACATTTCGCCATGATCCCAATTATCCCAAAATATAACGGCACGAAAAATCCCGACGAACACATAGACACTTATGAATGGACGATGACATCGTTCCAGATAGACAAGAGGTTCACCTGCACCTACTTCCTGGTGACATTGTTAGGAAATGCCAACAAGTGGTTTAAGGCTTTATGATCGGGAAGCATTTTCAGCTTTGAACAATTGAGACATTTATTTCTTCACAACTTCATGCAGTTGAGAAAAGTCAAAGGAGATGCCAACTTGATCATGGCATGCAAGAAAATTGAGGGAGAGTCCATCCAAGCGTATTATGACCAGTTCACCTTAGCAACTTTAAGCGTTCCACGCCATGAAGAATTCTTAGTCACAAGCGCCTTCGCCCAGGGGCTACTCCCAGGCCCCATGTCAAGAAAAATACAAGGCACATTACCAAAATCTAGAGACGAGCTTAAATACAAGGTCAATAAATACGCCCGACAGATCGAAGGAGAAGAATGCAAACAAGCAAATTTAAAGGCTGTAGTGAATGTCTACCTCAAACAAGAATCAACCAACTCCTACACTAGCCACAACCATAAAGATCACGACAATGGAAACCACGACAAACATAGCAGACATTCGAGACATTCCTCCCACAGATTCTGCCAGTTCGTCAAAGAAGACCCGAGGAGCCACAGGTCGGAAGTACACATCGTAGAAAAAACCTCACAATGGATGGAGAAGGAAAAAAGAAAATACTGTGAATACCACAAGAGCAAAACACATGACATTAGAGAATGTGCGATACTCAAAAGAGAAGTAGCAGACAAGCAATTGAACGGAGACCTAACAGAAATAGCAAGGAACCCACGGTTAAAGTTCGAAGCTAACCAATAAGATGGAAGAACCCGCAAGGAAGCAAGAAAACAACCAATAAAAAAGAGGAGATTTTCACAATAGTGAGACCCAAGCATTGAGACAAGTACCAACGGTTGGCCAAAGGTGATGCGATCCCACCCAGAGACACTCTAAACATCAGTTTCTCGCCATTAGACCCGCGAGTGCCTGACTGTGACCCAACATATATAATCACAATCCCCGCCATTGTTATACATCAAAAGACTTGGCGAGCCTTAGTCGATGGAGGTAGCAGCACTGATATCCTTTACGAACACTGTTTCAAGCAACTCCCGCCATGTTGGAAAAAGAATCTGAAACCCCCAGCCCAAGCACCACTTGTTGGCTTCATGGGACACAAGTTGTGGCCACTCGGCCCCATAAACCTACCATTGACTATAATCAACATCGATGGGAAGGAAAAAATAACTAGGATAATCGAGTTCTCGGTAGTCGGGAAAAGATCTGATAACGATCTAATCCTTGGGCGCCCGACTCTTTTTCAATTACAGATTATCCCATCGACAATACATGGCACGGTTAAGTTCAAAACCACCAAAGGTTCAACAACAGTTAAAACCATTAACACACAAGCAAGGCCAACCTAGGAAATCGTTGTGTGGGCCACTATGCGCATCCCAAAAAGAAGACAGACCATGATACTCACATCTAAAATGGTCAAATACGAGAAGAAAGACACTCGCACTCCCAATAAGAAGAACAAGCACAAGCCTCGGGCATGTAGCCCAAAGGGGAAGGGAGTGGTAGCAACAACATTACCATGCCAGATACACCACACATTTTTAGCATGAACACTAAGAAGGGTTGGGTATCACTAAGCATACCAAGTGCCTTTGCAAGTGAAGACACAAAGTACAAAGAAGAAGCTTGACAGAAAACAAAACCAAGGGGTCGCAAAAGTCGCAAAGGTAAAGACAAGGAACCACACTGCAAAAGAAACCTCAGATGACACGAAACCTCTTAAGGTTACTAACCAAACAACCGACACCAGAGAATGGAAGAGATTGAAAATCTTCTTCCAAAGGATTATTGTCCCTAAAGCAGCAAGTCACACGAATGCAAACATCAGATAGCTTGTAGGAACAGGAGAGGCACAGAGTAAGAAAGACCAAGAAGAAGAACTCATCCTGATGACCTGGGAGACCCAGGGTCTAGACCAATGGTCCTAGTTTGGAAGGAATCAGGAGAAGGGGCTACGTGATCAAACTCCCACCGGATAATCACACCCCAACTAGCTAGTATAAGACCTAGAAGTAGAATGGCATCAGCTATCGAACCCCCGATACCTACCTAAACGATGTAGATGTCTCCAAGACTAAAAGAAAATATGTATGCAATGAAAATTTGGAAAGAACAAGTATCAATATACTTTAGTAAAAACGGCGAACAAAAACAAACTAATCAACCCTACCGCATAACAATAAAATCATGGAGGAAAACCAAATTGTAAGCTCCAAGGGCTCATAATTTCCCCCTAACAAACATGTCAACAAGATCAGTAGAGTCGTAACTCCTGATCATGACAAACAAGAGGCTTTAAAGGATCATAACCTTTCCCTCGAAACATATAAACTCCCAGACTTCGAGGTGACAATCTCAGTCTGGTTTAGATAACAAGGCTAGAGTGCAACTCTCCTTGGCCTGGGGCATAAAAAGGCCCCAAAACAAAGTCCTTTAGCTAAAAAAGGGATGTTCCAATGAAGCAGAATAGCTAGGGCCTACACCGAAAAGCCAACCAAAGCCTCACACTATAAGGTAGGGCCAAAGGACAAACGACAGGCTCAGATGCTTTGGGTCACCAAAACTCATCAAAACAACTAACAACCACTCCCAAAAGGGCGACACTAACCTCTAGGAAGAATTCAAGCTAAAGATGGCCAACATAAACCATCAAAAACAAGGACAACACAAAACAATAGTGTAACAGACCAAAAGAAAGGGAATTTAACATACACATAATAAATTGTCTACCCGGAAAACCCCTCGAGATTTACATGAAGACTACGCGGGGCCAAAGAAAAGTAGCAAAACATTGTTGAAGTACCAAACAAACATAAACATTGTCTTAAAATATTCAAAGAAGAATTAAAAAGCCATAACTTACTAGGGGAAGCACCAGCATGAGAAGAGTCACCTTCGACCTGACTATCCTCGGTGTCAGAGTCATCACACAACTAGCGAAGGCCTGAGATGTCGAGCTCGCCCTGGCAAAGGTAAGAGGTAATGTATGTCTCTACAAACGCTTCTACAACAACGTGTATCGCCTAAGTATGCTCCTTGGTAGCAACAGCCTCCCAGAGGTAATGTATGACGACCCCAATCGTATGCCACCATGTGCTGGGAAAGGTGAGACCCCCGAGTTATCCCCCACCCAGGCACGTACACGGCCGGCACTGCCGGAGGAAAAGGAACAGAGCCATCATCAAGGTCTCCCTAACCAAAAGCAGAACTGGCGAGCTAGGAGTACCTTCATGACCGGCTTTTTGTGTACACCAAAAATGATTTCAGCAGCAGTATCCACCGGTTCTTCCTTGGGTTCATGGGGTAGTTTTGCCGCCCCTTCTTTCATCCCATCCGACTATTTCCAAGTGTCATCGTCGGAGATATCCACAACTACTGTATCTTCCTCCAGAATGACGCCTGCATTATGCCTATTTAGAATATGTTGTCCCATGGATCTGGCCTCGGTAGAATCCACTTGTGGCAAATCCAGTTAAGAAATTCGCCGCTTAGAGGCCCCGCGGGTCCTGTGCTGGACTAGCCCAATTGAAGGCTCCTCCCCCTCAGTATAAGAAGGCGGGGAGTCTTCATAGGAAACACCACCAATAGGCGCATCGATCATCACCTGGCCAGTGGGAGAGTTAGATCCACAAGAAGAGGCAACAGGAGGATCGAAGAGAACCAAAGAATGGTCAAGACTGACCGGTGGAGGTAGCATCTCAACCAAGGGCACCTTCCAGTATTGAAGGGTGCCCTGAAAATGGCCCCTCAATACCATCTAAAAGGGAAGAATCATCTCATGAATTGCAAACGAGGACAAAAACCAAACACAATTCACACAACACATAAGCGAGAATGTATCAAGGCGGGGGGGAAGACAAATGATTACCATCTTTCTCGACGTAGAACTGGGGAATCATCCCCCGGGTCCTCCAAGCAACACTCATCCCAACCATAGCAAGTATGTGGTCCTCCCAATCCTCGCCATTAATGTATATGGTTTTCAACGACTGTGCCATCATAGTTCAGGAGCCCGATAAGATAAAGTGGTCAAGCAGGGATAACCGAAACTGAAAAAATTACGGTTCACCCAAACCCACTGATCCTTCAAGTTCTTCTTCGGAGTTTTCTGATTGATGATGAAAACATGAACACCCCTCCCCTGGGAAAAATTTTGGGCACTAGACTGAGTCAAGGAATTGAAGAAAGCCTTGAACGTCCAAAATTATGGCAAAACTCTAAGGGCCCGACAAGTAATGTAACGACCCAAAATCAAGGATAAAAGTTTCAATTTTATTATTGTCAAAACACAGATGTTGTTTAATTCAAACATTCCAAAAAACATTTATCAGAGTTTATCCCAAAATCAAATATAGTGGGAAACACGGGTGTGTGCGCTGCGATCAAATCGGGCCCTTCATTTCCTCACCAATGATACCTGATACCATAAACAAAACTGTAAGCACGAAGCTTAGTGAGTTTCCCCTAAAATACCACATAGCATACAATCACAGAATAATATCCATAAAATATCATCCACATTATATCATGTAACATACATATAGTTTCCATGGGCTCCCCTATGGTCTTTACCTGGATTGTCACGGGTAACCCCTATGGTCTTATATCCAAAATCCATGGGCTCCCCCCATTGTCTTAGATCCAAATGCCATGGATTCCCCTTAATATCTTATATTCAAATGTCATGGGTTCCCCCCATGGTCTTTCAGGAAAGTAACGGGAGCCTCCTTCGGGTCTTGCATGCAAGCATCACAAAGATAACTAGCATACAGTCTACAAGAACTTAACTAATAATTGGCAAAGTTTAGA